TTGAAGGCTCTACTTCCTCTTGGATCTACATCAGAGTTAAAGGAGCTTCTCCAGGCCTGTGGTCTGGGAGCCTGAGTTGCAAGGGCCTAGGCTGGGTCAGGGTGGGCAGCTCAGCCATGATGTCTCCTTCCTCCAGGCTGGTTCATGGCACTGGGTGAGCGAGAGCTTCTCATGCATAGCATCCTTTCTGGCACTCAAAGGACACCCTGCCTCTTTCCTTGGCTGCACCTTTTGGAATTAGTTTGCTGTTTCACTCTGGCTGCACCATGCGCTATCTTTGTAAGGTTCCTACACACAGCCCTCTCCTTCCCCTGAAAGAAGGCATATGACCTTGAGCAAGGATGACACTGTGGTCCAGAGCTTTGCTGTAGTTCCTGCCCACCACCCACAGGCTCCCCTGCAAGTTCCAGCCTATGCTGCTTCACTAGATAGCAAAGGAGCCATAGGGTGGGTGACACTGCCATGTCATCCAGACTGATGCAAAATGGGCTGCAAGCCTCCTCCCTTGCAGTCTCCATCAGGCGGAGTAGGGGCTCCCAGGGCAGGTGTTGTGACCACCATCAAAAATCCAGGGTGGCAAGAGCCTGCCACCCGTACACTCAGGACCTCCACTCTACCTGTCCAACATTCCTGTGCCCACCTGGTGACATGTAAAACTACTGCCCCAGGGCTTGCTCTGTGCACCCACCCCCAGAGCTGCACAAAGTTGGAGGTGGAGGGAAAGCAGGGGAACCAGAGGTCGAGCTGGATCCAGGGGTGGGGTCTTCATAGGAATGTGTCATCCTGACAAGTTCCAATGGCTTTCTGGTTCTTGTACTATGTCCATGGGGAGGATTTATGGTGCATTTATGGAGAGGATGAGACCTCCATGTGCCTGTTACTTCTCCTCAACAACATGCCTTCTGGAAGTGCTCTAAAGAACAGAAAAGGATGATCCACCCTCACATCCTAGCCAGAAACAGACGCTACTGATGAAAAAAAAAATACATTTATTAAGATGCACATCATGGAATAAAGAAGCCATTAGTACACAGAGGAGTCATATAAGATGCTTTCTTTTAGGAAGGAGACAGAGCAGGAGCCTCAGAACATGACTGCCTTGAAGAAGGTTGAGAGGCAGTTAGCCGAATGGCTTCCTGAGCTTTGTGGCGCTTAGAGTCTCAAGCTTTCCTCCATTCCAATGGCTTCTTCAGGGTCCATTCGAGATCCTGATTTTCATTAGGAAGAAAAGGTCATGTCTTCTCCTGGGATGCCGGCCAAGTTGTTCCACAGGACCTGACCTAGAATGGAGAGGTTGGCTGTTGGTCTCAGGGAGGGTATGGAAGTTAAGCCGGGGGATGGGTATGAGGCAGAAATGTGGGTAAGTTTAAGAGAGACCCTTCCTCCTGAGATAGACCTGAGATATGGGTAGGAACTTCATTAAATTTGATGGACTGAGATTGGCTAGATGAAGATCTGTTAGCGACCCAGGCAATGGCCCCCAGGCACTTGCTGTGCAGAGAGGGCAGGCCCTAGAAGAGTAGGCTGTGTTTGTGCTCTAACAGGCTTCCCAGGACCTTGGGGATGGAGGGCTGCTGAGGAGGCCCAAGAAGGCACATTGGCTTGGCCTTTGTGCTGCAGAAGGGCCATGCTGAGGTGAGCTTGTCAGTCAGTGACCTTAACAGGTTGCTCAGAGAAGCCCGAGGGTAGTCTGTGTTCAATGGTTGGAAAAAAGAGCCACACTGTCGCTTTTCCTGGCACATTTTCTGTTTGACTTTCTCACTGATCAGCATCTCCAACTGCTTCTGCATGTCAGGGTGGATGAAAGAGTGGTCCCCTCTTCCTGCCTCTGCCTGCCAGTGGGCAGGGCTGGCCAGAATAGTGTCTGGTGGCTGGAGAGGCAGGTGTCCTTGCTGGGATGTGCCATGTGCCCAGTTGAAGGACAATGTGGCCTTGGCAGTTGCCCAGCACCAGGAGAAGAAAGAAAGGCAATGGTGAAGGTGGAGCTGCGATGAGAGATGCCAGACAGGATTTACTGAGGAGAGAGTCCTGCGGCCCAGTGCCTGGCAACACTCTCCTCAAGGCAGGCTGCTTTTCTTGGGGTTCTATAGAGAGGGTGGAGGCCAGTGAGTTCTGGGTCCCAGAAGCCAGGGAAGGCAAGGAGGACAAAGATCTAGAAGAAGGGGGAGCTGCTGCCCAGGGCCCGGGTGGGC